CCCCCCCCCCCCCCCCCCCCCCCAAACATATTATTCTAGTGTTTTTAACATGAGTAAATCATGTTTGTTTAGCATTCTGTCATCCAATGCATTCACAGGAGCATTACCACCTGCGCTTTCCAAGTTGACTAACTTGACTGATTTGTAAGTCTTTACTCCCCTATCAATTTTAATTTATCTATAATCTGAAATAAAATTAATCGTTGAATAAACAAATTTTGACATCTTCTAGTTCTAGCACATGATTACAACCTGATAGTAAAATATGCACAAAGAAGAACCAGTTGAATTGTTTTTAGTATTGGGTAGTGAGAGGTTGTAAATGAAAGTCACTGCAGGGTTTTGAATTAATTCCTATAAAGAGCTACAAAACCAAAATATTTTGTAGCTTTTCTATAAATAAATAAAAAACGATTTTGTAGCTTTATCTATTAATTGTTACTCAAGTTCTTTTACTGTTGTTTTATTTAAATTTTTAAATTTCTTTGCATACTGATTAAACTTTGGGAAACACATTTTAGGAGAATAAGCGACAATAATTTCTTTGGGAAGATACCTGATTTTATTAGTAATTGGACATTGATTGAAAAACTGTAAGTCTTCCACCTCTCTATTTCTTATTGTATTTGCTGTATACACTATACTTTATCATGTCAACCTTTTCTCTTTTGGGGTTACAGGCATATGCACGGTTGCTCTCTTGAGGGGCCCATACCTTCTAGCATTTCTGCTTTGACAAGATTAAGTGATTTGTATGTTTGTAATTCTTTATTTTAGTCATACTTTGATTATAGAAGATGAATATATCAAGTGATTGTTTTTGTTTATTCTTTGATACTTAGGAGGATAACTGACCTAAAAGGTAGTAAAGGCTCTACTTTCCCACCACTAAATAATATGAAATCCATGAAAACACTGTAAGTTCAATGACTTAAATGTTTTCTCTTTCTCTTAAATTCTTCATAAAATGACGTATTTTCCTTGGACATCAAAATGCAGGATATTGAGAAAATGCATGATTAAAGGAAAAATCCCAGATTACATTGGGAGAATGGATAAACTGAAAATTTTGTAAGTTGTGACTTACAACAGTCTTGACATGATAAATTACTGAGGACCATGTTCCACTTCAGAAGATCTCATGAATAAAATGATCCCAGAATCAATTCAATGTTGTCTTGTTCTTCTTTGCGCATAACATTGACATTATGTTCATGATAATATTATATTATTTTATCTAGATCTGAAATTCTCCGGTGCAAATTATGTCAATGATGGTATAATATGTTGATAGCAATGGGCTAGAGTAAATAATAATTACCATGAAACTTCATTCAAAGAGGAGAAACAAAAACTTGAAATGCAAGAAAACAGTAAACTAAAATGTTAAGACAAGGAGACAAAGAAAAATGATGAATTATTTTCTCTTTAGTCCTTATCTAAAATAGCTCTAAGTCTAAGAAATAGTTTGCAGAACAGAACAACTTATCTCCCTTGATCTTATTTCTGCCCAAATATACAGAAAATGTTGCTCCAAAGTAGTAGGAAAATATACAAAGCAAGCAGTGGTGTGCATCAGGTTAACAACTAGTAATTTTGGCATAAGTACTCTTATCATCTCCTCCTATGATTGTACTTTACGTTGAAATTCTTGTGTAAATGAAACAGATTGTCTTTGCTGTGTAGATTAATTTTTCAAAGTTGAATGGTTGTTGCTCTAGTGATCTATGTGTCTCTTTTGAACTTCTAACATAGACCTTGCTATTCATGCCTGTCTCTTTGAGTAATAATGAAACTTGTGAATGCTGGAGGAAGATTATAAAGACAACTATCAAGCCTGCATCAACATGAAAATGTAGAACATGCTTATATTTTTAACTGTCTTCAAGTTGAAGAGAAATGCAATTTTTTTTAAAAAAAATGCTAACCCTTTCCTTACATGATAAAATAGTTCATTTATTTATCTTCGTTGCTGTAGAGATTTGAGTTACAATGGCTTGAGTGGAGAGATACCCAAATCTTTTGCCGAACTGGACAAAGTAGATTTCATGTAAGTGGATGGATTGAATGAATCTTGTTATTGGCATATCTCATTTTTAATTCTGATGAAACAATATATTTATTAAATAATGCAGGTATCTTACTGGGAACAAGTTATCAGGGATTATACCTGGCTGGGTCCTTGGAAATAATAAGAATATGTACGTTAAATCCTAGAATTATTATATTTCAATTTTCAATCTTTCATCTTAATATTTGCTTCAGTGGCCACAAGAAACAAGGCGCCACATATATATATATATATATGAGGAGAGATTCATTTACTGCAAGAGTAAGTTTGCTTAGACATACTTTGTTCAATAACTCATGTTCTACATCAAATTTCAACGATCCAACCGTTGAATTTAAAGTTTTTAAGGCATAGATCAAATCTGCAAATTTTAAAAAAATTTAAAAATCATTTGATACTTCATTTCATTAATTCAAATCAACATATAAAATGATTTTATGATTATCCGTCAATTTGAATTAATGAAATGAAATATTAAATGATTTTCAAATTTTTAAAAATTTGCAGACTTAATCTATGTATTAAAAATTTTAAATTCAATGGTTGAATCATTAAAATTTGATGTAAAATATGAATTATTGAATGAAGTAAGTCTAGGTAAACTTATTCTTGGAGTAAACGGATCCCTCTCTATGTGTTAGAGCATTTAGAATAGAACAACAAGAAGCTAAGTCTAGTTCCACAAGGTGAAGTCTGCTACAATGATTAAAATGATGCCATTAAGTTCTATCATAAAACAATTTTTCAACAAATCCATTTAGAGAATTTAAAACATGATATATATAGTTGGATGGCTTACCCTCTATTACCAACATGAGATTAACATCTTTCATCATATATTTTGGTGCACAGTGATATCTCTGACAATAACTTCGCCTGGGATAGCTCAAGTCCAACTGAATGTCAACGAGGGAGCATGTAAGTTTTATTTATGCTTTGAGTTAAAGTTGTCCTCAATGATTGGTAGTTACCAGTTATCAATTCAACATTTTTTTGTTGTTTTTCCAGAAACCTTGTTGAGAGCTACTCTTCATCCGTGGATACACAGTAAGCTGTTGTACTTGGAATCTGCAGTCTTTTTACCCTTTCCTTTCCGGGGGATTTTCTGTAAAATTTAGTTTTGGGTATTAGCCCTAGTATATAACCTTAAATTTCTCTCTTTGTCGCAGAAATAAGATTCATTCATGCTTAAAAAGAAACTTTCCATGCCCTGCTTCAGTAAGCCAATGTAAGTGTATGACCATACTACAAGTTTCAAATTACTTTTATCTGATAGGCTGATTTAAATAGTGACTCATTTTGTGAACTGAAATTGAGTGAAATAGGTTGATGAAAAATTCTCAACTCAACATGATTTCGTAACGAGAAAAATTTAAGATATAGTCATATAACATGAATCTGCTTATGATTCTATTTATGCAAAAAGTACACTGCCTACTTCTTTGCTAATGATCTTAAGCTCAGAGTTGTACAGAAATTCAATTAACATCAAAATAAAATGAAAATGATAAATGTCCATAAGGAAAGAAACATGAATACATCTGTTTTTCTCTAAGGGGTTAAAACTAATTTCCTCTTTTTCCGATTATTTGAAATAAAAAAAGGTTGACTAATTCTAAGAAACATAAAACTGGAAGATAATTCAGCATTCTTTATTATTACAACCATTGGATGATTTTAATGACATTTTATTAAATAAATTCATGTAACTGAAGTATAAGCTTCAAAGATTTAAATAATAATCATGTTATGTTAGTGAATTTTACCTTTCTATGCTGCTGTCTTTTACCATTAGACCATTACAATTGAAAGATTTTGAATTTAAGTATTTCTTTTCAATCTTGTTTTTCATTGTTTTTTCAATAGATCAGTACTCCCTGAACATCAACTGTGGTGGTAACGAAGCAAATATTAGCGGTCATATTTATGAAGCTGATGGAGAACGAAAAGGCGCTGCAATGTTATATTACACTAGCCAGGATTGGGCTCTAAGTAGCACTGGAAACTTCATGGACAATGATATTGACTCTGATCCCTATATTGTGGTCAATACTTCTAGACTTAATGTCTCTAGAGTCAATTCACAGCTATACACAACAGCTCGGGTGTCTCCCCTTGCTCTCACATACTATGGCCTCTGCCTGATAAATGGAAATTACACCGTTAATCTTCACTTTGCGGAGATTATTTTCATCAATGATAAGTCATTTAACAGTCTTGGGAGGCGAGTATTTGATGTCTATATCCAGGTAACAGTTACTTGCATGATTTTCACATGCTGCTAAATAATTGATTCGCACTGAGTTGTGCATTGATGTAGATGGAATATATTATTATGTCCTTAAATTAAGGGGAATTTAGTGCTGAAAGACTTTGATATCCAAAGACAAGCTGGCGGTACTGGCAAGCCAATTGTGAAGACATTTAATGCAACTGTCACCCAACATACTTTGAAGATCCACTTCTACTGGGCTGGAAAAGGAACCACTGGCATACCCACAAGAGGAGTTTATGGACCTCTAGTATCTGCTATTTCAGTAAACCCTAGTAAGTCACGTATCCTGCATTTTAGTGTTATTGCTTGATAAAACTGCAGTTGAAACCATAATATGGCAATATGAATTGTTATGGAGGGGATGCTGAACCAACGTTGCAAGAGATATGTCTATATTTTAAGGCACTATTATTAATTAAAGAAAGAATAAAAAATACTAGCCTGACTAAACATATATGGATTCAGGCCTGCTACAGAAACTAGAGTGAGCTATTATGAAGTTTTATATTTTAATAGCAAATGTATGCTTCCTACTAAGGAAAAGATTTTATCATGTTTCTGAGGAAAAATAAGACCTTGTCACTCTGTTGAAGGGGAAAAGAAGTTATTGTCGCAAGCAAAGAAAATTATTTTAGGAACCAAACCAAACAAAGGAAAATAAGTTTTGTCAATCTTTTTAGAAGGCTAAATCTTAAAACCAAAATAGTATTTCCATTTCAGTTAACTAATTTTTCATTGAGAGAAAAACAAATTACTATGCTTTACTTTCAGCCGAAGGAAAAAGCAATAAATCAATAAAATGTACAAGACATGTGCAAAGTTAACTGTTGAAATCTTTGTTCTAGCTTGTAGAGAATCCCGAGCTATAAGAAAAATCCAGTCTCAAAGCTTCTAAAGGAGAATTGTAGGAATCATGTGTATTGATCCACATATATCGTACTTTATTTATAATAAATTACAATTAAGGAAATCAGGAAAGAAAAATAAGATAAAGATCCGTAATCCTAATTTTTAGCTTTACATATTTTTCATATCTTTAACAGCTTACAGCACTATGACCTCCTTTTAGTTAACCTTAGCATACCCCACTGTTGCATATATCTTCTGACTAAAAATAGTTCAAATGATCATATTTGTGTTGTGGATCATGTTTGAGAAGAGATCTTATTCCCTTCAGTATCAAGCAGATTCAAACAAGTGTTATGTGTAACAGAAACTTGATGAAGTATGTGCATGCCAAGCTACAAATCTATTCGAAGTCTAGCTAACAAGTAGATTAAAGGAAAAAGAATCAACTTGGACAGAGCAATTATTTGTTAACTTCAGCTTAGAGTTTACTAATTGGTATTAAAGAATTTAAAAATTGTAGGAAAAGGGAAATATTACCTTTCAAGTATACCTATACACTTGTTAGTTTTTGATAGACCTCCAAAATGTTTCTGTGATAAATAAAATTCATCAGTCATTCCTTTTATCTGATCCAGTTCTATCAATTTTGTTCTTCATTTCTACAAAAAGCTATGGATAAATACTTTTATCTTGCACAGATTTTAAACCTCCATCAGGGGATGGCAACAGAACTTATGTCATACTGGCAGTTAGCATAGTTGCTGGTGTTGTAGTTGTTGTTCTTCTTGTGCTGGGTGTCTTGAGGAGAATGGGATGGTTAGGAGGCAAAGACCCAGTGTACAAAGGTATCTATTATGTCATGAAGTTCTTCCAATTCTTTTATTTAGAATAAATATTTCCATTTGTCCAACATACCATCTTTTAAATATTACCATTTGTCCAACACCCTATATATTTATATGCTAGATAGAAATAAAATGAACTATGGTGGCAGATATTGTAGAGAAAATTATAGACTTTCTTGTTGAATCCAAAATTTCAATATATTGTTTTTTTCCAGAGCTTAGAGGTATAGATTTGCAGACGGGATTATTTACGCTAAGACAAATCAAAGCAGCAACCAAAAACTTTGATGCGGAAAATAAAATTGGCGAAGGTGGCTTTGGTTGTGTTTACAAGGTATTTTGATCTTCCTCAAGTTTATATTCTCGGTTACCTATTCCACCTTATGGTCCAAGGTTATGGTTAGTTCATTTGTTACTTGATTTGAAATACAAGAACAAGACACACTTTATTGTCTCTATATCTCCATTTAATTTAATTTTAATGCTTACAATTTAATAAAAAAAAAATAATATAATTTGTACTCATTAGCAAGCATATAACCTTGGTGGTTAATGAAAGATAAAATTTATCCTTGTTAATGCTGGTTAAAGTGTAATGGAGTTTTTTTAGTCCTATCTGTGGTAGGATGTGTATCAGAGTAATTGTAATGCAAGACAAAAATATACCTTGTTCATGATTCAGGGCCTACTATCAGATGGTACCATAATAGCAGTAAAGCAGCTCTCTTCAAAATCTAAACAAGGAAATCGTGAGTTTGTGAATGAGATGGGATTGATATCTGGACTTCAGCATCCGAATCTTGTTAAGCTTTATGGATGTTGTGTGGAGGGGAACCAGCTTATACTGATATATGAGTATATGGAAAATAATTGTCTATCTCGCCTTCTTTTCGGTAAGCTTCATAATGAATAAACTTTAGCATACTTACCATTTGAATCAAACATTTGACATGACCAACTAATTGATTATCCTCCCAATCACATACAGGGAAGGATCCAGACAGTAGGAAAAAACTAGATTGGCCAACCAGGAAGAAAATTTGCCTTGGTATAGCTAAAGCTATGGCTTATCTCCATGAAGAGTCCAGAATAAAAATCATACATAGGGATATAAAGGCAAGTAATGTCTTGCTCGACAAGGATTTTAACGCTAAAGTTTCAGATTTTGGCTTGGCAAAACTTATTGAAGATGACAAAACCCATATTAGCACTCGAGTTGCAGGAACAATGTAAGTTCATATTTTGCTTCTAATTCTAATGTTTTTCTTGTCAGAACATGGCATGCAATCCTCATGATAGCTTGAAGGATGTTTTTCTTGTCCTTTTTGTAGTGGTTATATGGCTCCTGAATATGCAATGCGTGGCTATCTAACTAACAAGGCAGATGTTTATAGCTTTGGGGTGGTTGCACTAGAAACTGTCAGCGGAAAGAGCAACACAAATTACAGGCCTAACGAGGATTTTGTTTACCTTCTTGATTGGGTAATTAGAATTTATCATAATGCTCACATGAAAAAGTTGGAGAACTATTTCTCATTAGACTGACTCTTTTTCTTATACTACTCCAATAACTGCCTAGTATAACGGGCTCATATAAACAAAACATAGACCAATGGATTGTGGGTTTTACTAGTTCACACACACACATATATGTGCATTTCTTTACTCGGAACTTTGCCCAATGTTATCCATAGGCTTTTAGATAATCAAACTACATTTTCCACTTTGTATTTCCAGTCCATATCATAGCTTCAGTAATAATCTTTGTACATAAATTTGAGTAACCCTGGTGTAAAATTTGAGGTTCTTTCAGGCCTATGTTTTGCAAGAGAGAGGAAGTCTTTTGGAGCTGGTTGATCCAGATTTGGGTTCAGAATATTCAACTGAGGAGGCCATGGCGGTGCTAAATGTGGCTCTCTTGTGTACTAATGCATCTCCTACACTTAGACCAACTATGTCCCAAGTTGTGAGCATGCTTGAAGGTTGGACTGATATTCAGGACCTACTATCTGACCCAGGATATTCAGCTGCAAGTTCCAGTTCCAAATTGAAGAGTATAAGAAATCACTTCTGGCAGAATCCAAGCGGAACACATAGCATGTCAATACCTAGTATATATACTGATTCCTCTGGCTCACATGCTGAAACAGAAAAAAGCTATCGTCTTGTAACCGTTAATTCAGATGGATCAGACAACTAAAGCTAATAACTATGTAAAGAGTTTTATCTTGTGGCCCGTTCCCAAGAAATTTGGGGTGCCATATTCGTGCTATATCATATATTTATTCCCATCACATATTTGTCATCTATTATACGAAATTTGAGGTGCCATATTCGTGCTACACTTACGCATTACCCTCCATAGTTCAAATGAAAAAAAAGGCTAAAAGAATTTCAGCAAATTTTATTTATCTAGTGCACCCAACTTATAAGGGGGAGGAAGGAAAGAATTTGAACTGATATATATGTTACTACTCCCTTGAGATAGGTAAACTTTGCTTATCTATTAATTATTCCCATGTAACAATTAACAAATAATTTAAAAGTAGAAATACTGAAACTTGCACATAATGGCTCAACAAAATGACACCAGCATCGTTCTTCTGCTAGGTGATGGATGGACACCAGTAGCATTATTTATGCAGAGACATGACATCCTGATCATAGTAAGGTAAACTTTGGGTTATAAAAAGTCATCAACAAAGAATTGTATTCTCCCTTTACATTGGTGAGAATTTTATATCACCTTTTGGTGATGTCGCTCATAAAACTAAATTGAGCCTGTAGGCTATACCCCAGATCCAGCTAGCCGCCTCTTTGATGCATTTGATATGGCCACCTGACCGAGCTTGTCAGCATCACCTGATGTAGTCCTTTCATTGACTGGTGTATAATGTCGCAACCATTCTCCAATGTAAACCTGAAGCATAAAATAGATATGACGAAATTAGGGAAGAGATTGCAATAGGAAATGCATCATATATTGTTAGGATCCAATTGAAAGGTACGGGGTTTAGGGTTTAGGGTTTAGGGTTTAATTTTTGCATAGGAAGTATGGGTTTCTAATGTAGGATTTATATGGACTTTTAATCTCCAATTACAATGGCTAACTTTTTTGGTGTGCTTCTCTCAAGCTTCTTATCAATTTGTATCGGAGTTTTTCACCATGTTCTCAGCTGCATAAGAACAATGCAGATAGTGATGCTGCCTCGTAGTGTTTGCCTAGGACTAATCAAAGTGCTGCAGGGTGTGATGAGATTTTGGATCCAAATGCAAGGCACGGGACTTGAATTTCTCACTGGAAGTATGGAATTCTAATGTAGGGTTTATAAGGCCTTGTGCTCCCCAAAACTCCAAGGTAATTTTTATGGTGTAGTTCTCCCAAGGTTCTTATCATATGCTGAATATCTTTAGGAAGAAGTGAACGACGTGGTAATAGTTATAGACGGATCTGCTAGAAAAGTTTACCTTAATAGTTCTGATGTATTACACAAATATCATCTAGTACCAATGTTATGAAATATAATGCAGCCATGATACAACTAGAAAAGCATTTTCCAGTAAAACAATGGTACACAACATGTACAGCCACCTTGGCACAATACAGCCAACAATAACCGCAATATATTTTTAATATGCAAGTCATAACCAGAAAAACAATTTATAGAAAGGAAGTAACCTGTTGAGGTCTCATAATCTTTGTATCAGGATCATCCAAGGACTCTCTCCAATGTGCCAAGTACCCAGCCATTCGAGGGATGGCAAATAAAACTGTGAAATACTCGGGTGGAAACCCCATAGCCCTGATTGCATAAAATTATTAGTTCAAGCCTTCTATGATTTCTTTCTTCTTCTTCTTTTTTTTTTTTTGGGGGGGGGGGGGGGGGAGGGGGGGGGGGGGTGGCAACATATTTTATCCTCCATAGTTAGAACAACTAGTCTGTAACAATAGAATACCTATAAATTAATCCAGAGTAGAAGTCAACATTTGGATATAGCTTCCTCTTGATGAAATATTCATCCGATAGTGCAACCTTCTCCAAGGCAACTGCAATCTGAACAATCAAAATAATTGCATACAGAAGTTAGAACTTTTAAAGTTCAACCTAAATATACTGAACAAATCTACATTAATTACATAGATACTTTTAATATGATACCAACCCTATTAATACTTTTAATATGAAAGTGAACGGAATTGCTAGAGATTTTACTTCAGATTCATTTGAGTTGATCCTCTCGTTTTACTTTCAAACCAAACAAGACATCTAATGATTAAACATGTAAACACAATAGATGCCAAACCTGTATCTAAAAAACTTTAAGCAAGCGCCTTAAAATATCCCTCTTTTCCAACATGATTACTCAACATTTAAACTTTTAATTATGTGTGGGCATGTGTAGGTGAGAAGTTAGTAAGTACTATATGCACAAACAAATACGAGATACACTATGCACAATGTTATACAATCAAAATTAAAAATACAAAAAATACATTTCAATAAAAAATCGGAAGAGGAGATTTTCTAAAAGGTTTTCTAAATGTACTAGTTTGTCATTGTACTCACAACCCTAATCATAGGCTTCATTTCATGACCAGCATAGCAAGATTAAGGAATATATAACAGACAAGAAGCACATAGAAAATAACTACAAAATGGATAAGCACCTCAATCAGGGGATCCCGGCCAACAATGGAAAACACTTCGTCTGCCAGTTTTCTTAAGACCTTTGCTCTGGGGTCATAGTTTTTGTACACTCGGTGTCCAAAACCAGAGAGCTTTCGTTTCCTGGAGGAAAAACACAGGACAAAAGTATCAACTAAAACTGTCATTTTCTTCACTTAGTGCAACAAGACACTCAAAAGAGAAGACAAAAAGAGCAGGTATCGTGCTATCCTTTCAGGGTATAAGCAATAAGCTAACTAGGGAAAGTGTAAGAACTAGATAATGAAAAGAAACACTGTAATAGCCACCTGGCTTTGACACCTTCAATGAACTCTGGAATGTTCTCAACAGTTCCAATTTCACTCAGCATTTTGAGGACAGCCTGCAGAGTGGAAGGTCACATTAGCATGTTCACGTATTAAATAACACTATTGTTTGTGTTTACTCACTACATTCAACCAAGCAATACATAAAAGATCATGACAGCTTCATCAACTACTTATAGTTACCTCATTAGCTCCACCGTGAAGAGGTCCATATAGAGCTCCAACAGCCCCAGCAATTGCAGTGTACACATCAACACCACTGAAATAAGAAATAAGATATTAGTTAACCACTATCAGACTGCTTTATATCTCTTAAGTAGTATTGCAGTAAGATACTTACCTTGACGAAAGGTGTCGGACGGCAGATGTAGAACAATTCATTTCATGTTCTGCATGCAGGATGAAGATAATGTCCAGTGCACGAGTTAGGCGAGGATTGGGTTTATATGACCGATTGCCACTGAAACATGCACGGTGAAGGTTTTATTTGTGTTAAAACTGGGGAAAAAAAGAAGAAAAAGCTAGTATGTGGCTACCACTCTATCATCTAAGATTGAATTATAATTCTTTGGAAAAAAATGGATTTGTTATATATGAACAAAATAAAAAACCATCATTAAACTATAAAGAAAAAATATATTTGAAAAAGTTTGACTTATTCCAAATTATCTATCAAACACAAAAATACCATACATACAAAGAATCTAGCATGTATAGGAAGTTCTCTGTGTAAGAAAGGTTGTTGGATGGAAGCACAGGTGGCCTTCCTGCCATTCTAAGATAAACTGCAGCAGCAATTGTTGTTATCTGCAGTACATACATAAAAAAGAAAATAAATGATATTTCAATAAAGCAGTAGGATAGATTGAAAATAAGCATTGAATTGTGTAGATAGTGCATAAAATCCCACAAGACACAATCAGTAAAACCAGTGCTAGATCATTCAAATAACTTGTAAATATCAGAGACCGAATGGTGCAAAAAAAAAAATAGAAAAGAACCGAATAAGCACACCTTTCCAATAACCCGTGTTATTTGTTTGTCTCTTATTTCCTTTGAGTCGTAAATATCAAGACCCTGCGTTAAATTATAATTAAAATTTAATTAAATGAAAAAGAGTCTAATCTGAATTAATAAAATATAACAGAGCAATAACAATATAACATGTTGAATCCTAATAAGAGAACGAGTACCACTCACACATATATTGTACTAACCCACAGGAAAAAGCTAGTATCCAAAATGAATCCCAAGATTAGTTTTATGAGTTAATCATCATCTATACACTGCCGGTGTAAAGTTTTTTTACACTGGCAATCAATTACTCCCTCTGTTTTTTTTTTCATAGTTGTTTTGTCAGAATTTGTTATTTTTTTTTCATTGTCATTTTACTAAAATCAATGACTTGTTAATTTTTTTTCTCCATTTTTACCCTTGATAATTAATACATATTTACTGAACAATGTGTGTATTTATTTTTAATGTCTACCTATTTTTTCTTCAACTACCCATATAAAGTTAATGTGCATTTATAAGAGTAATATGTTCCCAACAAAATACTATAAAAAAACAAAAAAAAGGGCCAGGTATAATTAAATACAGTAGGTTACAGTTCACGTATAATCAATGCATTAATAATTAATGGAGTAAATTGCAGTTCAACGGTCTCAAAAATGCAAAAAAAAATAAAATAAAGGGTAAAATAGGAAAGTAAGTAATAAATATTTTTGAAAACTAAAATATCAATTATTTCCTTAAGTCCCGTGCAAAACCTTAAATGACTTTGAAAAAAAACGGAGGGAGTATATCTTTTAATTGTGTCATGTCACTGTAAACACATTTACTTTTAACAGTGACATGGCACAATTAAAAGATATAATTGGTTATCAGTGTAAAAAAAACTTTATACTGACAGTGTATAGGTGATTAACTATAGTTTTATTATATCTCTAACATGACCTCTCACTCACTCAAGAGTCCTTTCGGTTCAAAGCATAAACAGTGTACATACCCATTGTAATCTGTATAGAATTCAACTTATTATGAAGAACATGAGCGGCATGAATCAAACACTTAAGTGATTGGTCGGGATATTCTAAATTTTAGTACTATGTCGAAGACCAACTCTTCCAAAAGTAAGCTAATAGGAGGAAGCCTGAGATTGGCTTTTTATATCACTAACAGTAAGCATTATCTAGTGATTTTAACAACAGATCATCATTTTTTGTTTTTATTAATAAGTTCAAGGCTGAGGTAAACCCTGTTTCATACGGAAAAAAAAACCATATGCAACATTCTTTCATGACACTGTTTGGAACCAAGAATTGGGAAAGAGAAAGAAAAGAAAGATTTTATTAAAAAGGATCAAAAGATCATAAAATAAGAGAGAAATATCTCCCCCAAGAGTTTCCCCTTCCCAAAGGATTTCTCCTCTCACAAAGAGCCCAAGCTCAATTTACAAATGAAAAGATATGAATGTCTCCCCTCTACAAAGTAACCTTCTATTTATAGATGTGATGGACCTAGCCCATGATATCCTTCTAACTAATAACTACTCGATTTCCCTTTATTCTAATAACTCTCATAATTGCCACTGTTTCAAGGTTTTCAGGACAATTGCAGAATTGAAATTAATTTCTAGATTAATGATACCTAAATTATAAAAATCAATTTGATAGATATATAAAATCTACAAGAACCCACATAATGTTTGAATCTGTTGAAATTACAAGGTTTTCAATATAGAGAAAGAAAGATAAAAGAGAATGAAATGCTATAATTGATATGTTGATGTGATCATAGAGCCTACAGTATTAAGCCTTATTTATACTAATCAATGAAGAAACAGTCCAAACAGTGAGTAACATGACAGCAGTTTTTGTTACTTACTCTGAGAGCAGGATTTGCATCGGGATGAAAAACAGAAAGAGCACTCATGGCGTTAACAAGCACTCCCATGGGATGTGCATCATGGGGCATGGATTGTATGATATCCTACAAACCAAATGTAAGATGATAACACTACTCAATTAAAAAAAAAAAAAAAACTTCACTTAAAGAAACAAACAACGTAATCTATTTTATATGATCACTTCAAGATGTTGGGGTTATTTTATGGTATTTGTCTGAGGGATATTTTATGAGGGTTGTTTTATAAGGTTATTACACAAACATACCCCACAATGATGAAATATTGTCTGTTTTGAGACTTAGCTCTCACGGGTTTGCTTTTGGTCATTACCCAAAAGGCCTCTCAATCATTGAAGTATGTTTATGCTATATAAGTTGCTATTTGTTATCTTATTTTATCGATGTGGGACTTGTTTGTATCCCAACACAAGAGAATACTGTATGTGATTGCAAAAGAAATTCAAAAGATTGTCCTTTGGAACTCAAACCGATCTGGAAAATCAACAAGTGATCTTTCAGGATATGTGCTTTAGTTCTACTTTCAAACCAGCTGTAATTCTACTCCAATGAAAAGAAAGAGAAACTAAAGAGGAAAAAAAAAATATACTTCAGAAATAAAAGATGCTTCAACAAAACCTGATTAAAAAATTATTCCACATGATTTCTCTTGAGAACACTACAGAGCTACTAGATTTCTTTAACAATATAAAATACCACTGGCATACTAAATTGCAGGCAGTAAAACAATAAACTGTTTACAAATCTAAAAGCTGTCACTGACTGAAACAGAGAAGTTATCACTAGGCAGATGGGATTTTGGGACCATAAAACCACTGTAACAGATATTGCATAAAAACTCACCAAAACTCCTTGTGGAACAGCCGAATGCTGAGATACAGCAAACTTCCATTCTGCTAACTGACTTTCAGAAGGCAAACTTCCATACACTTGAAAAAAGAAGAAGTTGCCAGTTATTAAATTAAACAAAAATTCATTCTAGTACATATCAAAGCACACAATTAACTAGAAGCAGAACTATGCCCAGATTCAAGAATCGTCAACAACAAAAATTCTGTGTTTAAGTGAATCATCAGTCCAAACGTTCTATCTCCTGATACCCAAATGCAATGCCACAGAAGCCCCATACACACACTTGCAACAAAACACAACACTCACTTATGAGATAGGACACTTCAATGAAAGTGCTTTTCTCTGCCAACTCCTCAATAGGATAACCTCGATATCTAAGAATCCCCTCATCGCCATCAATATAACTAATAGTTGATCGAACAGGAGCTGTGTTCAAATAGCCAGGATCATAAAGCTTGAGTCCCTTGTCATTCTTCCCAGCCGATATCTACAAAATCCAAAATCAGAAAACCCCACTACATAATATATTATATAAATATAATAAGGGGAAATAGTGAAAGTGTATGCACATGCGTGTAAAAGATTTTTACAGTATCATCCAATCATACACCACAATCTTACGTCTTAACACAGTTTGTGATAAATTTATTGTCTTTTACAATAACTACAAGGAAATAGGTCATATTAAATGATGATACAGTATTTTCCGATCACAGACCACAATCTTACTTCTTACCACAATTAGTATAAGTTTATTGACTTTTATTAACAGGTTTTAGCTCATATTAATGATGATTTTTGATTGATTGATAATATAAAATCTTTTACAAGGACAAAGAATACAAATTAAAAACGTTTAATGAATAACCAATACCATGATCACAAACCATCCCACCTATGATTTCACCACGTAACTAACAATAAGAAGAAGAAGAAAAAAGAGAGAAGGCCCATTTAGCAAACCATTCAACAAAGATGAAAGGAGCAGAATTGGTGGAGGAGACCCATTTGGCAAAATATGAAACTCCATGGGAAACGAAGATGAAAATTGAAAATTTGATGCATGAGGAGGAGATACCTTCTTGAGGTCAGAAGCTTTGAGAGTGCCTTCTTTGGAGATCTGAAGTTGGTACTTCTTGCCGGTTCTGTCGTCCATGACGGTGAGAGTGCCGTTAAAGTTGGCCGGCGACAACTGAGCGGAGAGAGGAAGAGGATGGAAGACGCCATCAACGGGTTCAGAGGCAGAGGGGAGGAGGTGAGCGGTGAGCATGGCCAAACGGCCACGAGCAAGCACAGTTGCTGCATCCGAATCACTCGACATTTTCTCTTTCCAGAACAATTAGAAATCGAGAGAATGCATACAGAACAGAAGAAGCAAATAGAGACGTATACGTTCTCAACTCAACTAATAATAACTAACAGATCATCTCGTGCACGTACGAGTTTCAAAGCAGATATTACAAAATAACCATTTTTTAATTAAATTTAAACGAATAAAAAATTGATACTATAGTGCTAAAGAAATTAAAAATGAAATAGAGTAAGGATGGCAAAATGGGCCATAACCCACCAAAAATTGGCGGGTTAGGCCAAATATTTCAACCCGTCAACCTGCTAAACCTGTCAGTCTGCCGGGCCAAATAGCGGCTGACCCGTCACAACCTGCCAACCTGCATATTTTAATTTTCTTTATTAAATTTTTTTATATTTAATTTATTTTGATGTAGAAGATGAGGATTAAAAAAGTAGAGACAATTTCTTCTAAGGGAGCTTTTAATGTTCTTGAAATAGAAAGTTAAAGTTGATTAATTGTGTTTGAACTTATTTTGTAGACTATCAAAATTTTAGTTTATTAATAGTTTATAAACTTATAATTTGGTTTTGATTTTGGTGTAAGTGAACTAATTTCTATTTAATTTTGTTATAAGTTTGTAATTTGCTTTTGTTGAACATATATTATATATAATTATATATTATATATAATTTGTATATATTTTTAATTTTATATAGTTATATTTATTTATTTGTAACAATCTTTTTATTTGAACATAAAATATTTTTTTTTGTGGTATGCAAGCTGGTCCGCCGACTCGGTAGCCTGTCTTTAGGCGGGGCAGGCTAGCTATCCCAACCTGTTTTTTATTGGCGAGCGGGGCAGTCTGCCCCATTTTTGACCTGTCATTGGTGGGCCGGGCCAAAATAGAGATACCGACCCATTTTGCCACTCCTAAAATAGAGTAGTTAACCATTTGAGTAAAAAAATATAAAAATATTAAGTTGACATGTGTGATAAAATGAAGGAGGAGAGCATGAGCTTGGCGAGGGAAGAGAAAGAAAGATGAGAGATGAGGAAGAAGAGAAAGCAGTGTTGGAACAAGTGTTCGGATGTGATTCGGAGAGCGAGAGCGAGAGCGATTGCGAGCGGGAGTGGGAGTGGGAATCCATAGAAGAAGTGAAGGGCCTATGGCTGTGCCCCAATTTCCTCTCGACACGCCGCCAATCACTCATACTCTCAGCCATCGAAGACGAAAAGTGGTTCCCCAACCCCTCCATCAACCAGGCCATGCGCTTCGGACTCCAACACCTCCCTTCCTGGGCCCTCCCCCTGGCCCACACCATTCGGCGCTCGGCCCAGGCCCACCAGCCGCCGCCCTTGCCGGGGCACATCCTCCGCAGAGAACCCCTCTTCGACCAGATGATAGCCAACGTGTACGAGGCGGGCGAAGGCATATGCCCCCACGTTGACCTCTTGCGCTTCCACGACGGCATCGCAATCCTGTCCCTGGAGTCTTCCTGCGTCATGCACTTCACTTCCGATGCTTCTTCCGTTCCCGTTTTGCTCACGCCGGGTTCCTTGATTCTCATGTCCGGAGAAGCCAGGTACCTGTGGAAACACCAGATTAATCGCACCACGCCAGGGTTTCAGATATGGAAGGGACAACAATTGACTCAATCCAAACGCACCTCTATTACCCTAAGGAAACTCCAATTTCAATAATTCTAATACTACTACTCCCCTTTCTTCACTTCCTAAGCTCCTCCTCTCATCCTCCCATTAGAGACCACCTTCTGCTATGCTACCCTTCAATTGAACACTATTTTTCATTCATAATATCTTCTATACACTTGTACCCTTAATTCAAATCACGTCAATCTTAATATCTATGTTTAAAATCTATAATACAAGTCTTCATTTCATTTCATATAATCTTCTAACTATTCAGGTTTAAAGATATTCATAGTTTCATCCAATTTTCTTCCTTCTTCAACTAGCTTTTCTAATTAGTCAATTTAAGAGTTGTAAAAGCAATACCATAGTACCCAAAAATGAAACGAAAAGTCTAAGCAAATCAGATTATATTTTTTTAATTAGGATATTCTTTCTTCAGAATTAAGAACTACTCTCTCAAACTATTAAAATTTACTAACATATTTTAACAAATGTTTTTCAAAACACATACTCTATACCTAAGGACCAAATTATTTGTCGTTCTATGTCATACATTGTCGGTAATAAACTGTATTAATGCAACCTTTTTCAACAAGTCATCATGCGTGTAAAAAGAGCACTTAAATCTTTTTATAAACATATAACCTAATTGCAAGCAAAAAAAAAAAAAAAAATTGGAATCACATCACGAACTACATATAGAACAAAGTAATATAGAAGATAGAAACTTTTCTTTAGAACGATATACAAGATAAAAACTTTATTTAAAAAAAGTAAAATGATTTGAACTTAGAAGCTAAAATCCACTTATTTGGATAATTTTCTTCAAAAATATTTTGAATATATATATATATATATATATATATATATAATGAAATAAACATTTCTATATGTGAAAATCAATTTTTACTTAAACTAATTTATAATTTTTTGATGAAACTATATAAGAGTTTTTACAAACTAACATATCATAAGCTAATTTAGCTTATAAAAAATTATTTCATTTTTTTATTATAAAATTATTTTTAGCGAAATTTATCTAAAAATTCTCTTAATTTTGGTAAAAAGTTCTTTCATTTAATTTTTTCAAAAGATAGAATATTTTATTTGTACAATAAAAAGAATAGATCAAATTATATTAGTATAATTTGACAACTATTACACCATTCTGCAATTAAATAATATTCCCCTAAAAAAAATTTATTAAATAAAAAGTTAATTTAACATAATATATACAAAAATTTATATTAATCCAAAATTATAAAATACTTCATTCATATATACAATAATTGGTATGATCTTATCTTACATATCTCTCAGTCAAATCAAATTAGTCTAAAACAAAATTTTAAAACACAATACAAGAGCAAAAAGAATATATTAAATTACGAATACTTTAATTACCTTATTATTGTTGTTTAATTTTAATAAAATATGACATACACATCTAAAGTGATATAAAATTCTAATTTAATGATTGATTTAATAAAATCCAACTGAACACACCTGTTAATTGATTCAAATTTATTGAAAATTACACTTTTTCAGTGATTCATCTTATTTAACTCCTATCAATGATGATCTTGTAGTTTTAAAAAATTGACTATCGATAATGTATGTTAGAAAATGTGTTATTGCCGGCATTC